TATTGTAGATACTTTATATCTTATATTTAAAATACTACCTACTTGCCCTGCCTCGATTAACTCTATAGTTATTTGCAGGGCAAGCTGTAAATATATGTAATTTATAATTATTATTATTAAAAGTTGAAAGTTAAAGTTGAAAGTTGAACATGTGTAGTCGTGTAGATCATTATAGAGTCTAAAGATGCCTAACATACTATTGCATTGTGCGAAAATATGTTTGCATATACAAAGTCTTCATTCTTGTGCAGACATAGGTATGTCCAACTATTTGCACAGAAAATGTTTGAATCTTAAAACTTCTCCAGACACTAACAGTCACAGAATCTTAAAACTTCTCCAGACACTAAGAGTCACAAGAGAATACATTAATTAGTTGTTCAGACTGGCCATAAAAAATTTCTAGCAATCATTTTCTTCTATAGATTTTAAATCAAAATCGTTTTACTCTGGCTTGCCGTGTTTATATGCATGCTTCAATGCTGAAATATTGTTGATATGTACATGACCTTGCTATAAATCTCATAATGCCATGATTGATTCATGAACAAATTTAACTCTTCACAAATATGTTTGCCTTTGCCTTTGGGAATCGAAATATTTACAAAACATACTGTATTGAGTAGTGCAATGACAATGTCTATAGTATAGACATCTGTTGCAATTTTGCCCTTTGGGAATTGTGTTTACTTTCATGCAAATTCATATACAGTAGAGCATAATATGATATGGCACAGACTGTCGAGTCATCAAATTCCATTGAAAATGAACTAAATTTTTGTGTACAAACAGCGGCCAGGTCGACTTCCAAAGTTATATCAGTTAACATTCTGCGGCAGGATATTCTGAGTTTTAGTTTACTAGGTAAAGAATGGCATGCATCAAGCGTGTCAGTTTTTCAGGGAATGAGCGAGACGTCTCAAGTTATAACATCTGATGCATGCAAGTTTTGCGTTTACGTTCTGTACGTAAGCAATTGTATGTAAATCACCAACACACTGCCAACTTTTGTGCGAAGAAATTATGCCAAACGTTTATCCAATAAGAGCTTGCTATTATACAGTTGAGAACGGATTGAGTGCTACCAGCCAATAAGGAACTGTAGTTTTGATGACTGTTTCATTCAGTAATGAGGCGTTTATGTTCGCTTACGTGCTTCGGTGCATGTTAACTAGTAAAACTTTGCATTGGCGTTAAAACATAATGTTGCACCCACGTCATCTGAACGTCTTAATGCACACGTTTAATGCAACATCCCTACAACGTTTGTCACACAAATTTATTCTCTTAAGAAGATGAAGAATGTTGTATGTACATTGTAGTAAATTTAGGTCAGACCTAACGTTCCCACTACCTTCTGCCAACGTTGTGTTTACGTTTTGTGTTTCCTGGGCAGTCTGTTCTCTTCCAATTTCTATATGATCCATTTCCCACAAAATAAATAGCAATTTCTGAAATTTTCGCTTATTACTATAATACATGTACATGTTGTGATCAGTTTAAACCATTATAACATGCAAACATCCTCTGCAAGAGCTCTACAGGAGGAAATTTGTGAACAGGAAGAGATGAGACTGGGGACTAGTGTGTTGCCATGACAACCACATGACCTGCCAAAAATATTCATATTGCAACCCTCGAAATTCAACTATTTTTGCCTCGGCAAATAATTGCCGAAGTCTTTCGACAATTTTGGAGTTTGCCTTGGGAATTTTTTTTGCCAAGGCACGCAATGAATCACCTTTAAATTCCTTCATCAATTACTTCGGCATTCACGTCGGCATTTGTATTTAAAGTAAAGTACATATGGAAATTATTCTAAACGAACATTATAACGAGCATAGATTCTGACGTTTGACAATTTGTTGTTATTTTACAAATTCCTGATTCAAAGTGTTTTTAAAAAGTTAGTGCCTAGTGGTAATTAACAAAAAATTGTATGAAGAATAAACTCGACGTGCCGTCTTTAAACCATCAAGATTGTTCTTTATTTCAGCTGAAGCCGACGCTGAAATGCTCAAATTTAAATATTTTGTAAAGTAGCTATATTAATGAAATCTCAGTTGTTCACCCAACATCAATGACAACAATTCGAACAAAGAAGTGATACAAACAACGAACACTGAAGCTTGTAAATTTAAGCAAAAAAAAACGAACAGACACTGCAGTTTGTAATTTAAGATACAATGGGTGGAATTGCCTTGGCATTTTTTTGCTGAGGCAAACAATGAAAAATTGTAACTTGCCTCGGCATTTGCGTCAGCAATTGTCGGGTGCCGAGGCGAAGGGTTGTATTGGTGCACCCACTAAGTGTGCCAAGTATCATTGTATTTTATTAAATACTCAAAGATATCAGATTTTCTTGTTATTGCCACTATCTCAAGTTATAGTTGTGACGTCATGACTAAAAATACAGAAAGTGCGATAACTTGAGAATAAGATGAGATTTGAAAAACTGTAAATGTCATTCTTCATCACTCCAGCAGTACTTTTTAAAAAACAACAAAAACTTGAGGTAAAAATTTCGTTTTTTAGCACTTTAAGTAGTTTTTTTAACAGTTCGCAATACAGTATTTGTATACAAAATATGGTCAGTGCCAGTGGTTCACTGGAATGCTAAAATTAGCCATTTGACAATATGCCATGACTTCAAGCAAACACCCAATGGCTTCAAAATAGACAATACATTTTGGAGTCCTTGTCGGGTGTGCAAATGTGCCATTTAGAAATGCAATGTGGCAGCTACCAGGTAAATATTGTACATTTAGTATTAATATAGAGTTCGAAACAATTAAATGTTTTACTTTAATGTTTACAATTAACCTTGTTCATGTCCTGGTTATACTATTACAAATCTATTAAAACTCTATTAAAAATGAAATATTTATGTCACAACTATATATAATGAGTTTAATCTTTATCTGCAGACACTACTATGTCTGTACTTAGCCCTAGCATATGCATCTGTTTTTGTCTAATTATTTTAGTTTGCCTTTGGCCACACAATTCTGCATATGATCACTTGATTTATGGCAACCTAACATGGGGTAATACTTACAAAAACAGAATTAAAAAATAATGAATATACCATACAAAAATAGCCTCGACATTTTCAAAATCAACGACTATTTAACTGTCTTATTTATGTTTCTTTTACCACCATCCTAATAATTTACCAGAATTTTTTAAAGATTATTTTGTGACAAACAACCAAATTCATCAATATAAATCATCATGTAAAATATTCATATAAAATATTCATCTATGGAAATTCCTGGGTTAATTTGTACACAACAGCACCATCCTGCCATCGAGAGTTGAGCTCCTCAACTGGTATGACGGACAGGCAAGCTTATCATCTTTTTTATTAGACTACCATAATACGTTTTTGCACTCTCTCTTTGTAACTTTAGTGCATAGCCTTGTTCAGGTTGTTGTGAGGATGGTAACATTTCTAACCAAAATCCCGACACATGGCAGCCACTAGAAGATTTGGTACATGGAAGGGCCTTATTCACGTGGAGTAACCACCATTTGTCACAGCTGGGAATTTCATTTTCTTCCCCTCGATTTACGGTAACAATGTCACCTACCATAAGGCTATAATCATTGTTCTTAGCAATGTTTGTATCAACATCATTATTGTCAATGTTGTCATTTAATTCATCCATTAACTGCTGGAAGCTTGGATAGTATCTTTCACATGCATCTTTCTTGATATAATACGGCATCTACCTGCTCAATAATGCAGGGTGTATAGCCACACCTTGCTCTCTGAACATCTCTCACATTCTGGGTTGGAAGTGCTTTTGTGAGCATGTTCATAACTCTTGCCTTCTTTAGATCTTTCTTAAATGATGTACTTTCTTCAGTGAAGGCTATTTCTTCATGTCGATTATTGTCCTTAATTTCTCTGTAATGCAAATGTGGAGATTTGTGTGTTTCTTGGTATGCTTGGAACGCTTTTGTGTGATACAAATGTGGACATTCACACAACTTCTTTATCTGTTCTTCTTCACAGCCTTTTACTTGGCTGTATTGCTGCATGGTAGGATGGTGATATTAGAGACATTTAGTTTGACGTTTGGAACCATAACCTGCAAACTGCGAACGCCTGAGAATCATGTGACTCGCCGGAGACCCCGTATATTTTGAACGTTTGTGATGGCAGCAGGTATGTTTTCACGTATATCACTTACTTAAGATTTATTTCCTTAAATATTTCATAATCTGATGTAAGAATATTTTAATAATATTGAGTTACCTTTGTTTTATTGTTTCGTTTTATATGGGTGAATAGGTTTTAATCTTTTCTTTTATCGCTTTATAATTGTTGTGCATGCAGTGGTACAAAATGGTGGAATGTATACAGTCAGTTCAAACTTATATATTTCGTCATTTGTGTGTTGTTGACTGTATAAATTTCTGGAAAACTTTAATCGATTACTAATTTTTCTTCTCATTAGTTTCAGGTAGCATTTAACTTGTCAGCTACTCAACAGTCAGAATACCATGCCATTTCGATGGCCAGATTTGAGGCACGACCTTGCAATGGTAAAATAAATCATTAAAAGTAGACCTGAAAAGCTAGCTGAAGGATAAGATAGCTGAAGGGTTGAGTGATTTGTTCGGTACATGGTCCCCAGGTATACCTGTAAATTTGAAAGGAAGAGGATGTAGAGAACGAAGTGATCGACTTCTAGCAAAGCACAAGAATGATGAAGCTAAAGCTCTGAAAAGGTAAAGGCAATGTTTGAACTTTTATGTTTGTCTTGTTCTGTAGATGCCTGTGTTGCCTGCATATCACATTCTAGGAAAATATAATTTGAATTATGATAATTTAAGAGGTTATATTTTGTAAATATAGCAGCTATTTTCTTGGCAAAGTGGCATTTTTATCCCAATTTTGAGGCTCCTAAAAACTGATTCAGAATCATTCCTCTCTGCACGTTGATATCCTCCATAAATTTGCGGGGAAGGGGGGGGGGCACCTTTTTGCTAATGCATGTAGAGGGCCCTACTCATACATTGCAAGTTGCTGACAATTTTAATTAGTTGACCATTCAGCAAGGATTTATCAAGTTGTACTATTACTAAATTTTTTCCTGCCTTTATTGCTAAAGTTGTGCCATTGGTAACTGCAAGTCCTTCTGGTTTCCATTTCTCTGGCAGAATGTAGTTTAACTGTTCCCACTGACTTAGAACAATTGATGGATTGTACACCATCGATAAACCAAATGACGTGGTCACCTTGATCTGCAACAAAACAGATTTCTTTCTTCTGCTGCGAGGACACCATAACATCTAAACCAGCTGGATGGCTAAAACATGCTTTTGCAGGTGCCCAGTTTGCAGAACGTGGCACATTTCGACGAGATCTCGGGTGCGATATACAAAGAATTTCAAGTGCAGGTGCGCTTCAAACTGTCAGGTGCGCACCTGAAAAATTGTAAAAAATGCTGTAGGTGCGAATTTTTGTGACAAGGTGTGTCACCGCTGGTCCGCCGGCTGGGAAATAGTAAATTACAATTTATCAGCGGCTTATCTCTTGTCTTTCCCCCCACGGTCCACTCTTTCGTATATCTTTTCTTGCGTGGCCAAATACGCGCTAGACAGTAACCCACTGAGCAGTAACCTGAGTTGAAGAATGCGTATTGCGTAAGCTGATTTGATATTTTCGCGCCAATTTTTTCCTGAAAGAAAATGGCAGAAGCTATAGAAGTAACATGTGCAGTTTGCGATAAAGAAGTAGGAACAGGACACAAATGTAAGTTATGCAGCGAATTTGTTCATCTTATATGTGGGGAAAGGGATGAAGAAAAAGAAGGATACGGACAAAGTGTATCATGTTTCAAGTGTTTAAAAATAAGAGGAAGAGGTACCAGTGTAATAGACCTCCTAAGCTTGTATGTAAATTAACCCATTTCAAGTCATGTGGTCTGTAATAGCTTACTTGTATAGACACCCTACATCATTATACATGTCAAGTGCACCCTGGGAGCTAAGGCACAAGGAACATTTAGGCTAGGTGCGCTAAAATTGCAACAAGAAATTGCCCTCGGGTGCGCTAGTGCCACGTTCTGCAAACTGGGCAGGTGCCACTTGATTTATATGTGGCGAACCTATGGAATAAAAAATTAGAATCAATTTAAAAGATCAAAGTTCAGGTTTTTGCACAATTATGTTTTTATATATAACCATACTGTGATCTTGACAGTGTGATAAATTTTACATGTACTCTGATATATTGTACACATTGAAAACTGTATATATTGCAGACATTGCATATTATACACATTGAATAACCTGGCATATTGTTCTCACCTGGTTCATCCCACTTTCCAAGGACAATGCATTTGGTAGGATTATGTTGATTTCCCATAACCATAAATTTAGCATCTACCAAAGAAAAATTCAAAGGTTTTGGACTGTAGTAATTAGATACGTTTTTTAAATGTAATTTTACTTTATACAGAATGTGATTTAGTATCAGTAGTGAGTGTGATGATTTACCACTGCAAATAATATAAAGTGTCTCAAAGATATAACACACACAAAACGATGGTTTTACAAGCATATTTTCAAAATATATAGTTGTTATTGATGGATCGTAAATATTCTGATGGTAGCATTGTCAGGTAATTCTGGGTAACGTTGTCAGGTAATTCTAGGTAGCCTTGTCAGGTAATTCCCATGCATAAAGCATATATGTCCAATATAGCCATTGGTTGTCAGGTGGTGAAGATGCTTTGTTTGTCAGACGCTTGTAGTGTGGTGTTGGATGGTGTAGGATGGTTCAGCTGAACAGCTGTTGTCAGGTGGTGAAGATGGTGTAAGATGGTTTAATGGGGGGTTAATTTTTAACCTACTTGTGTAAATATAGTGTGGCCTCATTCTTTCAAAACCACATGTATATCAATAAAACCTACCAGACCACAATAAAACCTACCAGACCAACGACAAAAGTGTTATGGCTAATTGTGTATATATAGTGCTGCCTCGTTCTTTCAAAACCACATATATATAAATAAAACCTACCAGACCACTACGACAAAAGCGTTATGCCTAATTGTGCATCAGGGTCGCTCGTTGCTGCACAGCAGTTATGAATGGTTATCCATGAATTTTCACCACTAAAGTGTGCACTACTTGTTGGCTATGTCATGTAGTACACACTATAGTGGAACGAGAAAGAACACAAAAGTAAAGAGTTTGTCTTGAAGCAAGTTTTCAACGCAGGGTGTGGGTCATCAATTTTTATGCAAGGGCTTTATGACCGGTCCCTTACAATTTCCTTCTAAATTGGAAATATCCTAGCAAGTGGAAGCCATTCTGAAGAAATCACATGAACACAAGATCGGTTGTTTGTCAGTTCTGTTTGTCGAAACACATCGTGTACTTCATCACTGCCACTGGCTCCGAAGGCATTCCATTTTTCCATTGTGCATTTGTACTTTGTCTTAGTTTTGCTTCAACTTCTGGAGTCACGTTATATACCAACTGTGCTGGTGCAGTTAATACAGAAAATCTGAATCTTAAAAGTTCTTAATAGCTTTACGAAACGGAAATTATATAAACAAGGCTGCCGGACAACTCAGTTCAGAGTGCCCCCCTGGAAGCCAGATTGCCTGGGTGCCTCCGGCTCTTACCGGGTAGAGCTCATAGGAGTTACGCCACTGCAAAACGATGAATATATTTTACTATCGCAAGTGAGTATAATTACATCATTTTCTAATTTACTTTAAAGTGTTAAGAACTGTCAAAAAAGACAGCAATACAATAGCCTATATTATACTCGTTTTCAAACCGTCATAACTGCCCATTTTGTAATTTACATCCTTGACAATTATAGGGCTCTATAGATGCGTGAAGGCTTCTATGCTCAATTGTACAAAGCATCTATAGGCCACATATATAGACGTTTTTCGTATATACTTTTAGTAACGTTGTCAAGGACAATGTGCCATTGACTAATTGATTGTACATGTTTAGCCGCCAGTGCTAATAGCGACTATTTTGAGTTAGTAACCAGAGCCACGAGGATTCACATCGAGTTATGATTCGAGTCACCGGAGGACTCGTTACAGAATAGATCGTTTTACTGGGATTGCTCCCAAATATAGCAATGCATTTTCGATTCAGTTTTGGTGACTGGTGTTTTACAATTATATAATCATTTATGAAATCGATATATTAAATTTCCTTAAAATATCCTGAAACCATTGGCAAATACATTTATATTTTTTATATAATTTTAATTTTCAAACCACTGTATGCATGTATGCATGCATGCATCGTGGACATTGTGAACTTAATAATATAACACTTGTCAAAAATCGGTCTCCCATACTCAGCTTGTTTGCAGGTGCGAGGTATTCTCCCACCTAAAAAAGTTCCATAGAATTCCACTCCTCATACAATGTCAAATTTACAAATAACGCTAAGATTATCAGATTAACATCATACAAAAATTATAATAATTAACTCTTTATATATAAAATCTATAGTAACCTACTGACATAATTACAGAAACCTGCACTAACACCCATATTCTAAAAGCTCACTCACACTCGAGTGGAGGTTCGAACAGCAATGACACTCGAGAGAAGCTTAGACTGAACTTCCACTCATTGAGTGTGTGAGTGAGCTTTTAGAATACGGGCGTAAGACTACTTTCAAAACCACGGCAGCGGTACATAAAACGGTTACCAAAATTCGCCTATATTATGCAGTATTTCATGCTCTTTCCAATGATGTACTGATTGCAGCACAATTAAGCTCACCAATGTCAAAACAGCAAGGATTAATAATGTAGTAATTACTTTTGTTTATAAAATTACATTGCGCAAACATCATAAAATTACATTCCGCAAGCGTTTGCCCCAAAATCTGCCTTCCCCAATTGTTCCAGAACTCGACTATATTGTGTAGTATTTCATGCTTTTTCCATTGATGTACAGTAAATTAGGGCACAAGTTAACAAACCACAGGGGGCCCCACTATGAGTTATGATTGAAATAATATTGTATTTATTTTTAAAAACCTAC